CCTATGGGACCGGGAAGTGGTTCGGACTCAACGATGTCAGCCCTATGTCGGGGCACATACACCGCGTTACGGGTGTACTGTTCCATATCGTACGGACTTCGGGCGAAGTTATAGAACTCGTGGATAAAATGATTGGTCTTGTGGTGAGTGAAGGGCGCTATAATCTTCTTGAAGCCGATGCTCGTGATGTCGTACATAAGCAATGCGTTCATAATTCTCGGGATCAGTGTTTCGGTTTCGTTGGTGTTGTCGAGTATTGAATTCAATTCGCGGTTAAGCCATGGAATGAGTCGATGAGTGCACGCGGGGTTCGACGAGAAGAAACGGGCCGTCACTTCGCGCGTACGGCTAGTGTTTCCGTCACCGTTGGTCAGTACCCATAGGTCCGAGTCATAGATATAGCGGCGGTGAGCGGTAGTGCCCGCCGGCGGCGGATACATATCCAACTCAAAGGGATTCGCGTAATAGTTGTTGGGATTCCATGTGCGCGACGATTGGCCAGAAATCATCGGATCCTCGCCGCGGAACCGATGCCTTTCGTTCAAAGCTAATCCCTGGCCAGTCGTGCGACTACTCGACGGACTGTATTGATTGGCACTACTGTTACGCAGACTATTGTTATTGTTGTTAATGGCGTTACTGATGGCCGAACTCCTTAAGCGCTGGTCTCTGACCCGTCGGTTGTCTATCATATGAAGAAATTGTGGGAAACTCTGAAATCCTGGCGTGAATTCAGTCATCTGGAGCTGAAGCTGAATGCGGCGCTCGAAGTCCATCATTCGACGCCTCAATGGTGTCAAAGTTGTCGGGTATCGGAACCGTTGATTGCCGTCCAAATTGGCGAACGGGTGGTAACCAAACGGCGAGTGAAAGTGTCCGAAACGGTGGCGATGACCCGTTTGGATCAGCTGCTCGTCGTAGTCATCCATCGCTCGGATATTGTATATAATCTTCTCAAAGGCCTGTCGACAGACGGGACACTCGGCCTTCACTTTGGACCACTCGAAGAGACACAACCGACAGAAACAGTGGAAACATCGGTCGGTAAAGGATTTGTCCTCAATTTTGCCCAAACAAATGGCACAATTGGGTTCCGGACTCTTCGACGGCGACAACAGTCGCGGCGACGACTGGCCGCTGGCGGCCGAAGCCGTGGTCGATGGCGGAAAACACCACTTCTTCGACTTCAAGTGATCCAACGGAGTCTTCGCCACACGAGTGGCCGTACTCTTGGCCGCCGACGACGACGACATCGCCCTCTCTTCGGCGTCGATCTGATCCACGGCTGGGTTGGCAGCGAACGGCGATTATCTTCGGCACACAAACCGTCGATGAACTACAAAGACGTGTCTCTAATATAGAGATAACGAATGAGTGACACAATTATTGGCTCAAAAGCGAGACCACAAGCGATGCGTTTGTCTTATTGTGTCCACAATTGTGACCCAAATGTGAGCTGTGTTTCACTGAAGACAATACCCACCAAATCAATGGTATTATTGTCTGATGTTTACAATTAAAGTGTTAATCAATATATGGTTCGCAACGAACGGACAGTTGGATTGACTCAATACTATTGAGCACTCGTTTGGGACTAAAAGTGCACTCAATTGCTAACAGAGAGACTGAGAGACAGTCTGTGATTGCATTCATTCAGTCGACGCATACAAACGCACAAACACTTCACACAACACTTTATGGGCTGTTGTTTTGCGAACACACTTTAGGCCCTTTTACTCGCGAGACACACATCACTAGTGCTGAGTGTTGTGTCCAAAAAGGGCCCAAACATTGGCGCAGGAATTATTATTATCAATAGTGTAATAATTGAACGCCAAACTCACTGATTGGCTGACAGCACACGTGGGCGTGCGATACGAGTGGTAGACTCCGCCCACACGTGTTAACTCATTCAAAATGTATTGTTTTTCTGGTGTTTGCGTTGATTGAAGTGATTGTTGAAGACTTGCACTGAAAAAAGTTTTTGGTGTCAAATGAATTGAATTGAAGTTTAATACAGTTATCTATAGTTATAGTCACACATCATATGCCATGCATTCACACCAACCCCTACATACAGTATAAACTCAATTACACTCACATTTCAGCAACTTTTTCATAAATTCAATACAATTTAAATGTAATTTTTCTGTTCATTAAACGCATGTAAGAAACACTGAAAAGTCATAAACTTATCAATAAATTCCTGTCTATATTTGTTTAGCTTATAGTTTGATAACAATATTGTTTGCATTTATATTATCGCTGCAAATGAATTGCATTCAATTGATTATCAAGTGTTGAATAAATTATATGTTTAATAAATTACAAAACATTTTTTATATTAATTGATTCATTCAAACAATTGTACAAAAAACACGTTTAAGTTATCAATTGGTGGTTGAATTAAAGCTCAATTCTTGAAGTGTGCGAATAGAAACCATTCTTCCCGTTCTTCGAGCCGATAATCGATAACTCAAAGCCTTTGACATGGATTTCGCCGAAACAATAGTCACCGAATTGTTTGAGAATATGTGAGGCGTCGAAAGGCCGTCGTATTGGCCGACGATTTCTTTGATTTCGAGCCGAAGAGTTGTCTCTATCTCTGTATCTCGTGTTCATAAGAGTGACGTGAAGTTTGACTTTGGTTTCGGCGTTCACTCTATCGAAGTCAACGGCCGAACCGTTGATAAGTCCGGTGCCGTCGAAGGCCATGAATATGCCGTCGACAACGGATTGGAGGCACTGTTTGTCCGACACGTCCACCACTTTGGCGAAGAGGACGTGCGCTTCTGTCGGGTCGTCGTTCATGATGTCGAGGCCTTGAAGTCGCACTCGAATGGTCTGACCGGCGGTTAACGGTTTGATCACGTCTTGGAGGCTCTTATCAAGTATTTTGGAGGCCATCGTTTCCTCGTCCTTATCTACCAGAAGAAGCGGAACTACTGTTACGTGTAATCTATACTTGTTTTGGAAGAGTGACTCTTCTATTCCTCTATTGGTTTGGTTGTCGTTAAGCACTTCTGACTTGAATTTCGAGAACTGATTCACAATCGACTCCTCAATCATCGGAATGGACACGAAGTGAGAGATACTGCACTTCTTGCGGGAGTCGTTCACAATGCCATCGATTATATTCTTGGCTTTCCTCACGTCATACCTGTCTTTACCGGTGATGACCACTTCCACGGATGTACTGTTGCGGTCGGGAATCACTATAAAAGTGTCGGATTGGCTTTGGATGCGGTTCTTCACGAAACCATTTCCGCCAATTATAAACTTGTGAAACACTTTCGGTATGTTTACGACCACTTTAGCCTTTCCAGCGCTCTCTTCAATGCCATCGTCTACTTCTTCGTCGTCCATCACTTCCAGCGCATCGATCGATGGCTTCGATGAGTCAACTGATGGCGCCTGCGATCGGTTGTCGGCATTGGGTTGGATCAGGTCTGGAGTGGGCTCTCGAGATGTGATCACTTGCGAGTTGTGGTCGTATTCCTCGATGAGTCCGTCATTGGGAATGTCGAGCCGTCGGAAACACATGTTCCCGATTCGGGTCAGCTTTGGTCGCATGATATCCATCGCTACAATCGGTGTCTTCAGCCAAACATCACATCCAAAGACACAACAAATCAATTGAAATTCAATGATTGAATGCAAAAACAGCTGACTTTCAAACGCAGGGATCGTTTAGTTATAAAAAACACTTTAATTCATATTAACGTCACTTTAATAGTCTTTTCACTCATTGATCAATGGTTTGAATTAAGTTTTAATTATTCAATAACTTTGACCACAAATACGACAATAAAATTGTAATTTTTTGGTTAAATTAATGCAATAATCGTATCAATTGTTTAGCAAATATTTGTCACAACTTTTTTTGGTGATAAACAGAGCGAAGCGTTGAATTGATTGATAATTTCAAATTATTAATTTGATTGATTTTTTTATTTGATTGAATTTTCGCTTTCCATCCGAATATTGAGACAAATTAGTGAATAAATCAAAAATATTTTTAATAAATAAGCGGTTGTTTTAATGCAAACTAATTTGCTTTAAAGCCTTTAGAAATATCATACTTTTTAGTTCACAATTAAAAAAAACAGTTTAACAATAATTGACTTAATGGTAAGGAATTAACACAAAAAAGTAGTTAACAAAGTTTTCGGGCGTTTTGTTTGTCCACTAAATGATTGGTAATAAAAATGTGATCAAAGAAATCAAAGACATGATATAATTAATTCATAATTTGCTGTCCGTTTCGTTATTAACATAATTAACGGTTAAAAATATATTTGATTAACAAAAACTTAAATCTAAATTATTATAATTATGTTTACAATCGCTTGTTATGGCTATAAATTAAATTCAATATCAATTTAAATCATACATAAAATCGACACATTTCTTGTCACTCAAAATAATGGTCCCATTCTTTGCGCTTTTCTTTTGAGACAAGTTTTCAAAAAACAAACAAAAAAAACAAATGAAATGTACATAAAAATTAACATAATTTTCTTGTGATTTATGTTTTATAATATTTAATAAACAAAAAACAATCGTTTCATTAATTATGAGATTAAACGAAACACTTTCTCTAAATCATAGTATATTTTTGGTGTTTATTTCAACCCAACTATCGTTTGATTAATGAATTGAATGTTTAATATTTCACAACAAATACCAAACAGTATTTTAAAAATATTATTTTAAAAAATCAAAAACAAATGATTAGTTAGATTTACAGAAATTTTTTCTTATTATCCTATTGTATAATAAAAGGCATTAAATTGTGATTTAATATAAACTTTAGTTATTTTTCATTCATTTAAAGATAAATATGTTTATCATAACGAAACGCGAATAATGTATAAAATAATGACAACTATTTATCATTCAATGTATGGCTTTATATCGCATACAAATTCACTGTAAATATTATTTTTTAGTTTTCTTATATAAAAAAAGAATTTGGATTTTTATTATTTTCATTAAAATAGCAAAAAATGATAAATTATACACAAAATGAAGCGTCAAGTGATGCGAATTGACTGATGTGTTGATATCGAAGTTGTTTTTGGGTTGCAATCGATGTGTTAACCACTGTTTGTAGTGTTAGTGTTATTAGAGTTTGAATTAATTTTGTTATCATTGATTAAAGTTGTCGATGAAATGGGTGCGCGTCTAATGAACTCCGGAGCCAACTCGACAGCAATGACAGGACCGGTGGCCGTCGTTGTGCTGCTTGTGGTCACTGACTGCTGCTGTTGTGCGACCCAATCGCTGGTCAGATGGGGTGTGTTGTTGTTGTGGTGGGAATTAACCGAATGACACACTTTGCCGGCGCCCACAACACCGCCGCCGCCGACACTACACAATACACTATCACTACTGGTGTCACTACTCTTCTTATAGTATCCGTTAACGTATGAACCAATGGTAGCGCCGCTAATATGACTTGAATTAGTGCCGCCGCCGGAGTCGCACAGACTGTTTATATTGGCGTAATGTGTGGACAAGTCGTCCAACAAAATGTGATCCGATTTGTGTGGACCTAATGTCAAGGTTTGCGTCGATGGAGAGGAACGGAACGACGGATGCAATAGTTGTTGTTTGTTTGACGACATCATGTTATTGAGTGATGAGGACGAAGAGGACATGTTTGTGAGCGCCATATTCTCCTGTTCGTCCAGAAAGCGGTCCATATAATCACTGCAAACACATTCAATCAGTTATTATTCAAATAACAGTAATAAAGTGGTCAATCATTACGTGGTTCCCGGATGTAACGAATATTTCTTCTTCTCGACACGGAATTTAGTGGCGAAGACATCGTGTCTTTCGGTCTTTTTCCACAAATAGTAAAACTGAACCAATTCTCCCACAGAACGCGTCCGAACCTAATGTGCAAACATTGGTTAGTATTTATTCATATTTGAAAACTATTTTGTTTCAATACAACTTTATTTTGTTGGACTAAATGAAAGTCTTTGCCATAACTTCTTAGTCCGGCTTCGAATGCTTTACATTCTTCTTCAGACCAGGAGCTCATGGACTCGTTCACTGCCGGCAAGTTTGGTGTCGTGCGCTTGCGTCGGATCGCTTCCTCGACATTGTGTCCGCATTGATGTAAGAGATAGAGCGCCTGTTCGTCGTCTCTAATATGAGATCCGGTCGGCAGAGTTAGCGTCGATGAGACCACCACTTCATCGGCGTTCGCCTCTTCAGACTGAGAGAATTTTGTCAAATATTCCTCAATGTCTTTGTCGGTGAGAAACGACGGATTCCATAGGAGTCTGTCCTCGTTCTCATAGGCGGGCGCGCCGTCATATCGGGACAGACCCTCTGGGATGGAGGCCTGATAGTCAGAGCCCACTTGAATGGTTCGCCTCCAGTCCTCTTCGTTGGCGGAGAAGTCGTCGTCGGACTCGTCGTCAGAGGAATCGCTGACCATATTTTGGTTATTCATATGAGTGAAGGGCTGAGAGGAACGTAAGTGCGATACACCTATCAATTGACTAGCATTTGAATTGCTATTTGAATGCAATTCCGAGGCCTGAAGTGAATTGGTTTCGGTCGGTGTTGTGGACGTGGCCTCAGCCCTCTCAACACTCTTATCACTACTTGAGCCCACTTTCTCTGTATAGCCGTACAGTGCCATCAGCTCTTCCAAAGGCATTTCCCCTTCCTTTCAACAAAAACAATTAGATATCAATTCATTAGTCTTTCGATTCAATCCAATATATATTTAAAGAGCGGAAAAAAGTATTGAAATGGAAAAAACATTATATTTGTCTCAAGAAAATACAAATTATTTAGGTTTCGGTTACAAATACTTTGACACTCATTGTCAACGAGTCATTGAAAACACTATTCAATATAAATATATGTATTCTTCGAGGGTTTAAATGTTATCTTTTGTCAAATTCAATATAAATGCTATCATTTTTATAAATGCTTGACTGAAACCCAAAATGAGACAAAAGATGGTAACAAATTGTTAATAATCATCATTTCATCGATGGCTCGGAGTTTGACATTTAGACAATCCATTCAATATTAATTTGCAGACAATTATACAGAATATCCATAAATATACAACATTTATATGAATGCATACCTTCTGCAAGTCGTCGATCTCTTCTTCGCCATTCAGCTCATCACTGATGGCCTCTTCTTCGTCGAGTGTGTGCTCGTCATCGAAGTCATTGACCAACATATCAGCCGATGGATCAAAGTCTTGGTCACTGTCTCCGCCTAAACAATAAACATATTATAAGTCATTACAACTTTTCAAAAACCAAATCAATTGTCAAAATACAAGAAAACTGAGATTTAATGTCAAAATAAAAGTGCATTTCAATTGGTTTATCAAAAATGAAAAGTAAAAGTAATAACAAGTTTTACGCTTAAAAAAACTGAAAACTTTGTTTTGAAAAGTTTTAAATTAAAATTTAATCACAAAATATAATTATAATCAATAAATAAATCAATAATTATAGAAATCAACACAACATTAAAAACTTAAGAGAAAAATAAAAATAATAAAAAAGTAAACAAAACAATGAGAAACAAAAGTGAAACTCAAAAAAGTTTGTATTGATTATGATTTCAGGAGAAAAGCGACGAAAGAAAGTGCGGAAAGAAAGTGAGAGTCGAGTGAATGGGAATGAAATGAATGTATGATTAAAGCCTTGGACAGTGTGTACGACAGCACTCGTACTGACCCGCACTCGACTCACTAGCGCTGGGCTGTGGGCCAGACATCACTCCCACTCTCGCAGACACTCGTTGTCCGCAAACAATGCCTTCGATTTGTACGCGAAGTGTAGACACAGATTGGCGTCAATAACGAGTGGCCGACCAAAGCATGAATGGGTGGACAATCACACAGTGTGTGGATAATCACTGGTAGGGTTTGTATGGGCTTTGCATCAAATGGTCAACACATCCCACACCTCAGCCATTGTTGTCAACAAATCAATGATTCACTCAATACATACGGATCCGGATATAAGCCCTGAGAGTGCGTACAACCCATGCATACGGCGCTAGATTTAAACGCTTTGACGTTTGCATACAATGTTAACCAATGCTTACATTTGTTCGTTATTTTAATTAAGCCTATATTTAAGTTTTATAAGTGATTTAATAATTATTTCTTTGTCGAAATTTAATTTAAGTTTTAATTTTATAGTTTGGAGGAATAAATTGGCAAAAAAGAATTGAAAATTACGACTTCTTGAGGTTGTTTTTAGTGAAATATTTTGATTTAGGAATTTATTTAAATTATTTGTTGCAGTAATTAATTATAAATTATAAATGGCATTCACGTAATGTGTAACACATTATGTGTTCATTAACTTAATTAAGTTGCAAAAAATTATTTGCATGTATTATACAAATATATTTAACATAATCAATGACACTGATTGCAGTGCCGCTACAATTCACGATAATGTATCTGGATCAATTTACGTTTGTACATACAGTACTATAAAATTACAATTTTAATCTATATTTAATATAGTTTTAAAATATTAAAATTTTGTTTAAAA